GGGAGGTGCATACGCCCTAAAAAAAAAAAAAAAAAAAAAAAAAGGCCTCTTGAACACCTTATGCAGAGAGAAAAATCTAGACACAGAGTAGTAGACGCTGTCATTCCACTTGCATGAAATGCTAGAACAAGCAAAATTAAACTAGACAGAAAGCAGATCCACGGTTGCCCGGGCCCAGGAATGACGGGGAAGGAGCCTGTGTGTCTCGTCGACTGCAGTGGGGAAGAAGGCGTTTCCAGGGTGCTGAGACACCCTCTGGTTATGGGGGCACCTCACAGCTGTGCAATTGTCAAATCTATTGAACTACACATTTAAAATGAAAGTAAATGATACTTTGATACATTATTAATGGAAAAACTAAAAATGGTGGAAGTCACGGAGTCTTACCAAGCCCTGCTTTGCTGTCAAATGCTAGAAAAAGCCTTCCCCTCCTTGCCTTTTCTTCAAGGTCTAGAAATGGAAGTGAATGCATTTTAAAATCCCTACGAAGCAGTTTTTAAACTCTTGGACATATAGCATCTAAATACAAAGTTTCAAATGCTTTTTAAACCCTCCTTACTTCGCAGGAAATACAGCAACTTGGTTTCAGAAGAAGAATGCTGCATTTTCGTTTTACTGTGCAGAGATGACACGTAGTAGCCCAGCCCCTGCTATATGCTCCGCCTTAGCCGGAACTCCCACTGGAAGTGTAAAGTTTGGGCTCAGCCAGTCTGCAGAGCTTGTCCGTGCAACCTGGAAGTGGCCGCAGAGGGACCTGAGTGTAACGTGCACCATACACCACTGGTGGGAAAACAGCACCAATTGCAGAGACTCAAGTTTGAATTTCAGCTCTGCTATTGTGCTATTGTGTCATGTGTGACTTTGGACAAGTCCCTTGATCTCAGATACCTTTCATGTGTACGCTAGGGGATTACCAGGCTCACTTCTTATTGTGGGCACCTGTGAGCCAGCTCTGGGGTAATAATAGACTTGGTAAATCAGAAGGCTGTTGTGGGTTTCCACCCAGAGCGTGCACGTGGAAATGCTCTGAAAATCATCAGGCAGTGATCTCAAGTAAGATGGTATCGATGCAGTTACTCAGAAACCTTCAACAGCTCCCAGATGCCTATGGAACCCATTCTAAACTCTTCATCCCGTAATGACCTAGCCATGACCAGTGGTCAGTCTTATCTCCTGCACTTCTTTTTCCATGCCCTCCCCCCCTGCCAGGCCCATGCCCTCCCTGTCTTGAGGCACCGTCAGCCATCTGAGGGTACTTCCTGTGATCCATGGTGACCAGAAAGGAGTGGAGGCCGGCTGGACCAGCAGCCATAGCCCCGCCCACCCCTGCACTGTTGAAAACCTGTGGGAGGTCCTGAACGCTCAGCAGGGCTGCAGATCCTGGACCTGTGCCACGCTGATGAGCATACGCAGTATAGTACACATTAAAATATTCATTTATATGGCTCTCTCCCTGGGGCCCTGGCTCCTGGCATTAGGGCCCAAGCTTATCTGCTCCCTAATTTCACTCTTGTACGCTTCTACACAGGGACTAAACCCCCCTCACCTCCAGGATTTGGGAAGTCTATCTGCCCTTTTTCTGGAAACTCTCCTTCCCCTTCCACATGGTCAAATTACCCCTCAGGCCCTTCCTCTTCCATGAAGCCTTCTCAATCTCTTCAGCCCACACCGACCTCTTCTCTGAGCCTCGCTGCACCTGCATGTGCATGCCACCTGCTCAGAGCACCGTAGTGTGTCATACCTGAGCCCGTGCCCCTTCTCAGTGGCAGGGCATGGTTGTGGTTCATGGGGCGCTGGCCACATGCTGGGCACTGGTCTCCACAGAGCCTAACGCCTTTACTCCTTGCACGTGGACTACAAGCTAGGCCTTGCTGTGTCGTATACTAAATCATAGTATAGACAGTTAAATCACAGTATAGATAGTTAAATCACAGTATAGATTTAAATCGTAGCATAGATTACATAGTTAAATCGTAGCATAGATTACATAGTTAAATCGTAGCATAGATTACATAGTTAAATCGTAGCATAGATTACATAGTTAAATCGTAGCATAGATTACATAGTTAAATCGTAGCATAGATTACATAGTTAAATCGTAGCATAGATTACATAGTTAAATCGTAGCATAGATTACATAGTTAAATCGTAGCATAGATTACATAGTTAAATCGTAGCATAGATTACATAGTTAAATCGTAGCATAGATTACATAGTTAAATCGTAGCATAGATTACATAGTTAAATCGTAGCATAGATTACATAGTTAAATCGTAGCATAGATTACATAGTTAAATCGTAGCATAGATTACATAGTTAAATCGTAGCATAGATTACATAGTTAAATCGTAGCATAGATTACATAGTTAAATCGTAGCATAGATTACATAGTTAAATCGTAGCATAGATTACATAGTTAAATCGTAGCATAGATTACATAGTTAAATCGTAGCATAGATTACATAGTTAAATCGTAGCATAGATTACATAGTTAAATCGTAGCATAGATTACATAGTTAAATCGTAGCATAGATTACATAGTTAAATCGTAGCATAGATTACATAGTTAAATCGTAGCATAGATTACATAGTTAAATCGTAGCATAGATTACATAGTTAAATCGTAGCATAGATTACATAGTTAAATCGTAGCATAGATTACATAGTTAAATCGTAGCATAGATTACATAGTTAAATCGTAGCATAGATTACATAGTTAAATCGTAGCATAGATTACATAGTTAAATCGTAGCATAGATTACATAGTTAAATCGTAGCATAGATTACATAGTTAAATCGTAGCATAGATTACATAGTTAAATCGTAGCATAGATTACATAGTTAAATCGTAGCATAGATTACATAGTTAAATCGTAGCATAGATTACATAGTTAAATCGTAGCATAGATTACATAGTTAAATCGTAGCATAGATTACATAGTTAAATCGTAGCATAGATTACATAGTTAAATCGTAGCATAGATTACATAGTTAAATCGTAGCATAGATTACATAGTTAAATCGTAGCATAGATTACATAGTTAAATCATAGTATAGATTACATAGTAAAATCGTAGCATAGATTACATAGTAAAATCGTAGCGTAGATTACATAGCTAAATCGTAGCGTAGATTACATAGTTAAATCATAGCGTAGATTACATAGTAAAATCATAGCGCAGATTACATAGTTAAATCATAGCGTAGATTACATAGTTAAATCATAGCATAGATTACATAGTTAAATCATAGCGTAGATTACATAGTTAAATCAGCGTAGATAGTTAAATCACGGTATAAATTACATAGTTAAATGTCTCTTGTGCAGCTTTCAGCTCTCTGAGCACTCCGGGTATTTTATCATGATCACTGTCAGGGTTACAGACCCCTTAGGGCAGAACTGAACTCTCCCTCCCTTTCCTTCCTCTCTCCTCTTTCCCCTCCATCTCTCCTTCCCTCCCCGGTTTTTGTCCTTCATTCTTACTTTCCTTTATCAAGAAGCACACAGCAGAGCTACACACATTCCAAACACGAGGTGGGCCTCGTCGACCAGCTCAGTGGCCGTCCGGCCAAAGGGCGCGCATGCAGTCAGAGCTCTTGCCGCGAATCCTGGGTGACGCCTGCTCTGTGTCCAGCACCAGCACACAGACGGGCTGTATCGGCCCTGGGAAGTTGTCTCGATGTCGACCACCCCTCCTTGTATCTGCTTCGTCCTCTGTACGCTCCAGACTTCCCACATAGTAATTTGGCGGGTTCCGTGGCAGCCCTAGGGTGCAGGAATCATTGCTTGCCAGGTGCAGATGTGAAGGCTGAGGTTCAGCAAGACTAAATGGTTAGCCCAAGGTCCTGCAGCTGTGGCCCCCCTACTGAAACTCAGAGTCTCCTCGTGTTGTCGGCTTTTGCTGCTGTAGCTTGTCCCTTCACAGTCTCCTGTTGGACCCTGAAGAATACTTAGCTCCTAGTTGTCACCCTTCCCTGACAGGGAATTCCAACTTCGTTCTTCCTCCCCGTGGGTCAAACACTTAGTTAAGGAGTATAACCCCACCACCACCAAAACTAAGCAACGGCAAGGGAGTGAAGACCCCCTTAAGGAGATGCTGAATATAAGCAGGTTTTATCTCAAGAATTACTAAACTGAGTGTTCAGTGTGTGGTCTCAATATGATAATAGAGAAGAGCTGAGAGCCGGCAGATGGCTCAGTGGTTACGCCCCTGGGTTCCCTTGTGGCCGACTGTAATTCGATCCCGGATCCCGCAGGTGAAAATTCATGCTGGACGTGTGTGTGCATGTCCAAAATCCCGAGAGGAGAATGAAGGAGAAGGGATGAGGCGTGGCCATCCCCACTCAGGGCAGAGGTTGGGGTGGTGGGGAGGGAGGGAAGGGAAGGGTGATTTCTTCCTCTCTGTCTCTCTCAGTCTCTAGTGAGCACACTTGCCCTAGAGCAAAAATACCTCCACAAAAAAAAAAAAAGAAGAAATGGGACCAGCAGATAGAATAATGGTTATGTTCCTGGACTCCCACATAGTTGACTGCAGTTTGAGACCCAGTCCCAGAAGCTTAAAGGTCACGCTGAGCACGTGTGCGTGCATGCCCAGGATCCCAAGAGGAGAATGGAGGAGAAGGGATTGCGGTGTGGCCATCCACCTGGGAGGTGATTTCTCACTTTCTGTCTCTCTGGCTCTCTCTGTGTCTCCAGTGAGCACACGTGCCCTATGGGAAAAAGAACAAGAACAAGAAAAAGAAGAACCATACCCCACTAAGTATCTTTCTGTAAACTTGCAAAACCAGAGAAGCTAGCCTGTGTAAAGCAGGAAGCTGTGTTGTTTACTGTCTTACTAATGCACACCGGTAGCAAGTGTCTTATTCCACTGCTGGTGAGATCGAAGCTCTCGTTGGCTGAGAAGAGACTGCACTACTTTGGCAGAGCACCACTTCTATCCTCATCTGGGCACGAACTCACTGGAATGCGATAGAAGTTGCTTCTGTAAAGAGCTTTTCAGGTAGGCTGTCTGAACTAAAAAAGGGAGATGGATGGAGTACTCAGGGATGGAAGAAGTACCTCGCAGGAGCATTCTCAGCAAGACGAGGGAGGCTCATGGCAACTTAGGGTCATATGGGGCCGGAGGGGGATTGCCACTGAATAATGTCCGTCTCCTTTTTGCTTTCTCCCACTCTTCCTTTCTTTCTCCCCAGCACACTGTGCTGTTTCCCTGTTTCATGCTTCCAGAACCTGGCCTTTTACACCTCTTCAGTAAACATTGTCTGTGTTGGTGTCACCTCCTGTACTTACAGTTCTCAACTATCGAGAATGCAATGGCTCCCAAAGGGTCCCAGCTAGGAGTCGCTGTTGATTAATACTGACTTGCAAGAAACAGTCAGTGAAAGTATAATTTACACACACACACGCACACACATGCACACGCACACACATGCACATGCACACACAGACGAACACACTTCCAAAGTTTGTGAAAATGTGTATTAAGAGAAAACTGCATGGATTTCTAAAGTTTTTCTTGCACCCAAATACACTCATACTTAAATTCTGTTTTTCCACAAACTTTTTGAAGTCAAGTCCCCTCCTACACACACATGCTCATGCATACACATACGCAGGGACTTCAAAAAGCGTGTGGAAAATTGAATTAAAATACAAGGTGATTTTGGTGCAAAAGGAAAATTGAAATCTATGCATGTTTTTTCCAAAATATTTATTTTTCACGAACTTTTATCTATACTGAGTTGTCTCTCAGTATCCATGGGGGTGGGTTCCAGGTTGCCCCAGGGTACCAATATTCATGGATGCTTAAGTCCCTTAGATAAAATGGCGTAATATTTGCATATAACCCACCCACATCTCATATACTGAGTCAGCTCCAGATTACTTAAATAATATCACACAAATAGCTGTAGTGTATTATTTTTTAATCTGTATTCTTTTATTGTAAATTTATTTCACTTTTTCCCCCTGAATATTTCAACCCACAGTTGGTTGAATTTATGGGTGCGGAATGTGTGCATGTGAAGGGCAGATGATATCTATGATGGGTGTGTATTAAACAGGTATGTGAATATATGTATATATTTACTTCTGTTTTCACGGAGAATCCCCTCTAAGTAAAGCTCTCGGGTGAATGGGTGAGGATCGGTTTGGTATCTTTTGGTCCAGATGGACAAGCTGACTCCTTCGCTAGACTTGTGTTAGAGGGTGGAGATAGAACCCTTCCCTCGTCTTCCGGAAAACCCAGCTCTGTCTGGGAAAGGAAGGTGACCGTGGTTCGACAGTGCTTTGAGGGAGAGCGGTGGGACTATGGAGGTCTTGGCCCAAGAGGGCGGGAGGAGTTGGAGCTCATCCGCAGCTCTTTCCAGAAGGTGGGGATGGTTACACTGCAGCCCGGGCACTCTGCTGCGGGGAGAAAGAGGAGTCCTCTACATGACTCAATAAGAAAAAAGCAGACCTACCCCACAGAATGAGCCGGGTAAAGGGTGCCAACAGGTAATTCACAGAAAGGAAATACAAATGACTAATGCTTACAGTTAAAAAAAGCCTCGCTGATACAAGCAAGCGCTCATCACAGTCATGGCATCTTTGCCCACGCAGCTGGCCCCGTAACTCTTCTCTGTTAGGTCATCTCCATGTTGGCAGGTGCTTGCTGAGACCGGCTCCTTCTGACACGCGTATAGCCGCTGTTACAGGCTTCCTGGGAGCAATCTGGTAAACGCATCAGGAGGCTTAGAAATATGGGCAGAGGTGGAAACCGTGTCCTGCTTCTCGTGCGGTTTGGTTTCTTCAGGGCAACAGACGATCCCTCCTCTTCATCCGCAGCTCGGGGGAATTTATCCGGCAAGCAGAGCTCGTATTTCTCATTTCTCTTCCGACCAAGCCTATCCTCCAAGCTGTCCCTTGCAGTTCTTCCCCCATTCCACCTCGTTCTCCTGCTCTTGCTTCTTCTTCCTGCAAAGCTTGGCTTCCTGACCAAGGCCCGGTCTACACGGCCCCATCCCTCCTGACCACCCCCACTGCCGCACCGTGCATCCACTAAGCCATAGCCAGGGAGAGCTCGCCCTGCACCTTCACCCGCTGGATGTTTGCATGTGTTTAGAGTTAACTGATGCAAGGTCGGTGTGACGGTCCCTCCGTGGACTCGCTGGATTTTCACTTCCGTTGACTCCCGAGAACCAGCACACGCACCTGGCGTGAGGTTCAAGCCACAGGGTTCAGGAGTGGAACCGCGGCTGATCATGTGGCAGTCCAGTACCTTATCCGCTACGCACCTACTGGCCCTGAGTCTTGCTTTTAAATAGATGAGACGATTTTGAAAGTCATATACACATTATAAACTAAAAAACACAAATTGTCAGGAAAGGTAGAGTAATGGTGCCAGCTACAATAATGTTATTGGTAGCATCACCACCTGGCCTGTCCCTCCTGGTTTGAATTTCTCTGAATGCTTCGGGAAATCAATACCCCCGTTCTTCCCTACCCTTCCACAGAGATTCTGTTTCTTTTCCCAGCACAGAACGCGCCGCCTTGGAAAACTTCAGAGCTTTCCTTCCTGACTCTGCCTAGTCACATTTCTGGTGCACTTTCAAATAAATAAATAAATAGATAAATACCTGCTAAAAGACGTGTGAAATGCACAGGCAGCGTACCCCAGGCGGCATCTTGGTCGGTGAATGAATAAACCAGCCGGCACGTTTTCCGAAGGGGCCTCCTGCTCAGTGGGGGCTTGTTTCCTTTTCCTTTCACAGACATGAGCGAGCTGGTGACCTCCATGGAGGAGTCTGGGTCTGCGGCCTTTGGGACCACACCCTACGACTATGAAATCTCGCTGCCGTGTGACAAGGACTATGTGAAGATGCTGCTGGCCCAGGTGCTGCCCCCGCTGTACTCCCTGGTGCTCGTCATTGGCCTCCTGGGCAATGCGGTGGTGGTGTGGGTGCTCACCGGCTGCCGGAGGCTCAGGGTCATGACCGACATCTACCTGCTCAACCTGGCCATCTCCGACCTGCTCTTCCTGTTCACTCTCCCATTCTGGATCTACCATGTTGCGTGGCATGACTGGGTGTTCGGGGACGCCATGTGCAAGCTGCTTTCGGGGCTCTACGACATAGCCTTGTACGGCGAGATCTTCTTCATCATCCTGCTGACGGTCGACAGGTACCTGGCCATCGTGCACGCCGTGTTTGCCCTGCGGGCCCGGACCGTCACCTTCGGCATCGTCTCCAGCGTCGTCACCTGGGGCCTGGCAGTGCTAGCTGCCCTCCCCGAATTTGTCTTCCGGGAGTCCCCGGATGGGTTGGTCTGCAACCCTCAGTACCCGGAGGAGGGGGAAGAGAGCTGGAAGCGCTTCCACGTGCTGAGGATGAATATCCTGAGCCTCGCCCTCCCTCTGCTCGTGATGGCCGTGTGCTACTCAGGCATCATCAAAACGCTGCTGAGGTGCCCCAGTAAAAAGAAGGACAAGGCCATCCGGGTCATCTTCGTCATCATGGTGGCCTATTTTGTCTTCTGGACACCCTACAACGTGACGCTTCTCCTCTACACTTTCCAAACGACCTTGGTCTTCGACGACAGCTGTGTGCAGAACAGGCGCCTGGACGTGGCGCTGCTGGTGACCGAGATGGTCTCCTACATGCACTGCTGCATCAACCCGGTGATCTACGCCTTCGTGGGAGAGAAGTTCCAGAAGAGCCTGCGCCGCTTTTTCCGCAGGCACGTGGTGGCGCACCTGCGCAGGTCCATCCAGTCCTTCCCTAGTGAGAAGCTGGAGCGGGCCAGCTCTGTGTCCCCATCCACCGTGGAGCTGGAACTCTCCTTCGTTTTTTAAGTAAGATGCAGGAAATCGCCTAAAGAAGGTGGCCAGCAGGGGAAACAGACACCGCGTCAACCACCAGGTCAACTCTAGAACAGTCTTTGGACTCCCTGTGCCCCCTAACGCTCCTGAAGACAGGACGGTTCGGCGCAGTGACGGTGTCGTCACCAGAGGACAGGGCTGGGTGGGGTATGCGTCTTCCACCTGCAATGCAGAGCTTTGCTTCGTTCTCGGAAGACTTCCATGCCTTGGATGCCTCTGAATGCTAGACAGTTACTGTCGGTAGCTATAAACAGATCAAGCTTTTTAGATTTTAAGCCTTCATTTCTTCAACAAGCTATTGACATAAATGAAACCTTTACAAAATTCAGTGTCCAGTCTTTATTCCCTAGCTACTGTGGCTAGCGCTTTCCTTGCTTGATGAGAGGGGGTTTTGCTTCGTCTCTTATATGTGGATGTGTACCTCCAGCAGCACCGTGGCACGCCATGCCCACTGCAGGCAGCCGTAGTAGTCTGTCGAGTTCCTGTCCACGCCGAGTGGCCCACAAAGCCCTGAACGTGTGCACTGTCCCTCAAATGCCGATCTCACCTGGCATAGCAGGCCCGAGTCCCCTGTGCATAGCTTAGGTGCAGAGAGCGGAGGTCCTGGGCTTGCAGGGCCACTCTGCAGCCCTAGCTTGGTGGCCCTTAAACATCAGCAGAAGCACCTGGAGGGCAGGCTAGTACAGGGATGGCACGTGGCTCCCCCGAGTTTCTGAGTCAGTGGCTCTCGAGGCTGCACCACTGGCCATTTCCAGGCGATGTTCTCTGCTGCTCGTCCCGGACCCTCACGTTTAGAACAGCTGCTCTGACCGAAAGGCTCCTGCAGACACCCCTGCACCCTCCTGGGAACTAGGGCTTTCACAGTTGTCACAGGGAAATGCAAAAGGCCCTTCCGACTGAGGCTCTGCCAAGGACAGTCACCTTCCTGGGGTCTCTATGTGGCGGCAGTGTGGCCCAGGACAACTGGTTGAGGAGAAAGCCCACCATTTTTGTTGAGTGGAGCATTGCCCAAGTGCCTGTGTTTAATACCCTGCACTCGTATCTTGGGAGGTGAACGAGAGGGGTGAGCTCCATCTTGAGCAAAAACGACAACTTAGCCCCCAAATGAAGAATGTCCCAGGTCTTGCTCTCTTTCCTTCTCCCTGTACGGCTCCTTGGGAAGTCCGGTGTAAGCTTCTGCTCCGCTTGGGTCTCACTAGATGCAGGGTGGGAGGGTGGATTGTGAGCCCTGCCCGCCGTCGTCCGACAGCTGTCTGTCTGGCGGGGCCGATGGGGTGCACCGACACATGCTAGGCGCAGGTCACAGACACGCCTAAGACAAGCATGATCTCCGCCACCATAAACCGCAGTCAGGGAGGGGGCGTAAGACAGCAGCAACAGCTCCAGTGCAAAGAGGTGGACGCTCGATGGTACACGTGGGCCGGTCAGGGAAGCCTACTTCCAGCTGGCACTTAAAGACAGGAAGACTTCATGGAGGAAGTGGCTTTTCAGCGAGTCTCCAAAGGAAAGGTGGGATCTGGACAGGGAGAGCATTGGAGAAAGGCATGGTAAGCCAAGGGAATATCCCATCCCAAGGGGAGAGAAAGGGCAGCGTTGATGTGGGCTGCAGGGGCTGCCCACATAGTAAATAAAATTTCATAAAAATCCAAAATCAATCAGTAAATAAGGAGCGTTGTGCAGGGGGTGGAGCCGCGCTGCTGCCCAGAAGCCGAGGACATCAGAAACCCCCGTGTTGCCCCCACCACCTGACACACATTATTTGGCCTCTTCGGCTCCAACCTCCTCACCCACATAATGAAAGGCTGAACTAGGTTGTCTCTAAGCCCCCTCGTAGCCCGGTAGACTCGGATCTTGCTAAAACGAGGAGCTGGAGGCTCATGTCTATAAAGCCAGCTGTCTGATGTGAAGAAAGGCAGTGCCCAGCAGGTGGCGGGATGCCTCAGTATAGCACCGGAGTCGCACGGGAAGCCTGGGTTCGGATCCTGGGTTGACCTGGACGTGCCCACAGGCCAGCCCAGGATCCTGGCTGGAGGGCTGGCAGGATTGTGGCATGGAGAGACCCTATCACAGGGCCCTGTTTCTTTCTCTCCCTCTCTTTTTCTCAAAAGAGATAAGCAAATAAACTAAAAGCGGGCGGTGGGGGGTCGGGGAGTGGAGGGCAGTCGCCCAGCATGGCCGCCTGGGCCGGGAGAGCAGGTACGTGTCGCGTCACGCACTGAGATCCGCTCAGGCTTCAGGTGCTCGCTCACAGGCCGCTTCTCAGTCCCACCCGTCACATTCGCGAGGCCCACCATGCTCTCAGCTCCAGCAGGAGGAAGCAAGACTGGACCCGCTGTCAGCCGGCCCTCGGCGAGCTCGCGGTCAGGCTGAACTGGGCACGTCCTAGTGCCCCGCCCGAGTGTGCAGCCAGGCCTCCAGAGAAATCCCTCGACACAAAGCCTCCATTGGACCAAAAAGGGAGACGCTTCCGTGTTAAACCAGGAGACACTTCAGTTCCCCATCGGAGGCTCGGGGAAGGGTGTGCAAGCCCTCGGCTCCCCACTGCAGCCCTGCCACTCCAGGAGCCTCCACGTGCTCCTTGGGGCCCTCTCCGGGGCGATGCAGGTGTGTCTGGAGCGCACTAAGCACTTGGCACGAATCTCACCTCGGCCAGGGCGCCTTTTCTCTTTTTTCGTGCTCCAGCCAAAATGGGAATAAAACCATCACCAAGAACTCAGCATGCGCCACTGGGCCTCGCACTGGCAGTAGCAGCTGCCCTTGGGGAACCACAGTTCACGGCACCGTGCCTGCTCAGACCCCAGACTCCCTGAAAGCTTCCCGGCGCCTCGATCCCTACAGAAGCGAGGGTCCAAGCCGTGACGTCACCATTTCTCTGCCCAGCCCGGGTCTGCCCAGAAGAACCCCCCGCCATGTTCTGTGTCTACGTGTCCCACAGGGCTGTCCCCCCCTCCCCGCCACCAGCTAGTGAGCCCTTAAAATGCAGCTTAGAACTGAACGCTTAAACTTTATTCACTTGGAATACTTTGGATTCACATTTAAGCAGCCACACGGCTCCCTGCCACTCCGCGTGGTCAGTGGTGCAGCACTGGCCCCCTTCTCCCTTCGTCCTCCCTTCCCGTCGCCGTAGACCCACGCCTTGGACTCTGCGTGACGCAGCCAGGGAAACTGACAGCCTGGCAAAGACGAGGGAGAGTCATTTCTGGATCGGGGCGAGACCCCTCGGACTCACCTCTGTAATGGAGCAGGGTGGGTGCCCAGAGGACCCCGCTGCAGGGAGGGGGGCAGGTGCCCAGAGAAGGTGACATCCTGCTCAGGCACGGTCCCCCTGGGCGCAGACCCTAAGAAGGATTTGAAAGCAAAGGTTTGTTTGGGATGTGCAGGAAACCACAATAGGGAAGTGGAGAGTAAGCCAGGGACGGGGGACGCCACAGAGGGCCACAGTCAAGCCACTTTCCGCAGGCGGTACCTGAGGTCGGAGCCGCTGGAACCATCTGTGGAAGAGTGTGACCCACCTCGCTGTCGCCCCCTTCCGGGCATTGGTGCCGTCCCTGGGGTGTGGATTCCCCAGCACCCCGCTGGGGCAGTAAGGCCTTCCCGGTTCTGGAGACACGCGTGGATGGCCGCATGCTGAAGGGATGCCAGGAGCCACCTGGGCAGGCAGCCTCGACTCAGCTCAGGGGATCACGCGCTGCAGATTCACCTGGTTTGCAAGCAGCTTTCTCACCGCGGTCAGGACGTGACAGCGGTGATGGGAGACGGGCGGTGTGCTGGCGGGCACCGTGGCAGACGGGCACTGCCGAGGCCTGCTGTGCGTGAAGCCCAGCGTGGCCTGGGACCCGGGATCTTGCAGGCGGTCTTGAACACCTCGGAGTTTGCGTCCTCTGCTGCCCGAGGCCTCCTCCGCTGAGCACCGTAAGCTGCTGTTTCAAAAGATGGTAGTTTTCCAGCTCAGGCTCCTGGGGGATTTCTCCAGACTCAGGAGCTGAAACGCTGAAGTCTCCCCATCTCCTGAACAGAGCAGGCTGTGTCCTTCATGCCCAGGGGCTGTCGAGAACTTCCTGGGGTTCTGCCCAGTTCTGCCCAGCCAGGTCTCCTGTAGAGCGAGGCCACTGCTCCTCTCTCCGCACCACTGGTCTGACAGAGGCGTGACTGCAGCCTGCGGGCCCACGCCGGCCGCTGCCTCTCAGGAGTGGTCCGCTGGGACACAGCCAGGCTCCTTTCTGTGGGAACTGTCGGCGGCTGCGGTTGGTCGGCTGTCACTGCTGACACACAGAGGCCACTGCCACAACAGAGTCACGTGGTTGTCACAGAGACAGGATA